GTGGCCGGCCCAGCCTTAAACCACGACAATAGTACATATTAGGGGATAAGAACACTAGTAATATTTTATACTTTATTCTGCTTGTCCCCCAGCAGAATGAAGGATTTCATTTCTACTTACTTTGCTTATTGTCCCCAGATGCCACCTCTGAGAGGTATCTGTAGTAATCGCCTTTCATTTTCAAATAGAAGACCTTGCTTTCTGGCTGTGTGGCATTCACAATAAGGTATTTATCCAGGAGTTCCTGAGAAAGGAAACACCACTTTTTTTTCTCCAAGTCATAAAAATTATGTCTGCAACAGACCCTTTGTTACAACAGTAAGCAGAAACCATTAAAACATTAACAGTGAGTTATATATACTCATGTGCTAATCACTTTGCCTACTGTTGTCTAAACTCAGAAAAAAAGAGAAACCAGAAAACTTGCAGTGTTGAGGCTACTCACAACTCACTTCAGCAGAACCTAAAGGCTATCAGGGCTTAAGACTGCAAAGATTTTCCTTGAAACACACTGATGCAAACCTACGTCCATAACCAAGCTAATGAAAAGCAACAGCTTGACATTAGGAATAGTCTGGTCACTTTTCCTGCCACAAACTTTACTTGTATGCGGAATAGTGAAATTATCCTCAACAACCTGACTCTATCTGCAGCTCCATCTGAAAAGCTGAATAGTGGCACAGTCAGGACGTGCATTCAGAGAGAGGTGCAAAGGCTGAGAGTACTGAGAGCAACTGCTCTTGACAGACCTTCGGCAAACTGGACAGCAATATAAAGAATCCCTCTGGTCCAAATGAAAGAAGTACACACCTTCTCCATCCCAAAAAGGTACTAAACATGCCTCAGGAACATCAGCATTCATTTATAAAAGAATTTCAATGGTAGGCTTTTTAGCAGGACTCATGTCAGTGCTCCAGATTTAAATTTGTTTTCATGGTGACCCCTAGCCAGCGGCTACGGGTCGTCAACACTACCTTGTTTGCTTCCTTCTATTAAAAAAATAAAATATGCTTTTTTTAAAAAACTTTCCTAAGAACCAACTAGATGACTTAGGAGCTAGAATTGGACCAAAGTATGTGTTATGCAAAATTATTCCCCTGCTAAGGAGCTGCAGAGTCTACAACACTAGTAAGGTTCCTTAAGCCTCTCGAACGAATGCTGCAGTACTAACTACTGTTATTTTTGCTGTTGGATTATTACCAGAACATCATTGCAGATATCCTGCAATTCAGCCTCAATTTTCTCACGATATTCTCTTCCCATCTGCTGCTTCTTCTCATTCCTCTCTGTCTTCTGTTCAATGCTGGAAATGACACGCCAGGACGAGCGACGGGCACCAACCACGTTCTTGTAGGCAACTGAGAGCAGATTTCTTTCTTCGTTGGACAGTTCATGTCCTTGTTCAGTGACAGCCTTCATAGCAGCAGCCATGTCATCGTAACGCTCAGCCTGTTCAGCCAGTTTGGCTTTCTGTACCAACTCACTTTTATCCATGGCTCTCCTGTAATTAGCGGGGAATAAAAACAAGAGAAAAATGTCTCTTGATTGGTTGCACTGTGGAAGTTAATGCTGAAGGGTGAAGCAGAACTCATAATCACTAATAACTGGGAAATCTATCAACTCTAATAAAGTAATATGAAGGGTTTATTTTAAAAATTTATATGAACTTTTGCCAAATATATATAATTTCTATGTGTAAATGATTAATCACAATCCTGAAGATCTGTAAGCATGATTCTTCAAAATGCAGCAAAGTTCGTATTGGCATTAATCACAGCCCATCAATAAGTTCCCTATGTAAATCTCTCCCTTTTCCTGGCCACAGCTCAGCCTGGGAGACACTGCACGTTCTAACCCAGAAACCACCAGTTTTGGTTGTTTTTTTGGTTCTTTTTTTGTTTGTTTCCCCCCACTATTATAAAACTGCAAGAACTCAGGAGCAATGAAACACCGGACAGCTCCTGATGCTGAAGACTTCTTGCACACCACAGGAGATGTTTCTGTGGGTTTACCAAACCATACCCAGTAGAACTGTAGTTCTTGGCAGCTATGGAAAGCGCATTTATACTGTTCTGTCAGAATTAGGTTTTTTTAAAATACATGCATCAACATACATATAATGGGCAATTCTACATGACTAGCATGGCTGCAGTGTCGGGTTTTCAAGACCTTTCAAATAACACTGACATTCACAAAAACTGAACAGGATGTGGCTCACGTGATGGTCACTACTGTAAAACTAATTGCTTACATGGAAACAACTTGTTTATCATTTCTGATAAAGCAGTTTAGCAACTGAAGCCAAGAAAAACACATCACATGACCACAAAGGCCCGGAAAAGCTTAAGCAATGAAAAATGAAGTTAGTAAGGAATACATCAGTGAGGCAGCTTTAGCGTTGCTTACTTCTACAAGACAATGCCAACATATAATTAACTTGGCCATTGATCTACCAACCTTATACTCAACCACCTAGGGCCAGGTTCACAGAGGAACTTAAATGAGTTTCTTTGCCTTTATCAAAGTGGACTTCCAATACCAAAATTCCCAGATGCCCTAAGTTGATTTGTAAAATTTCTCCAAGTGCCTAAGTTCACTTTCAGACAGACCCAGAACTGTTACTCTTGTCAGCACTGAACAATAATGCTCCTCTCCTACTCCCTAAATCCTCGTCAGTACTTCCACTGTCCAGATGAAAAGTTTTCAGGCTGAGACCTAACAGTCTAAAAACAACTTCTAAAAGCACAATAAAAAGCAAACAAGAACAGTAAGTTTACAACTCTCTTTCATAGGCTTACATTCATTAGACAAGTGTCTACATCCCTTTAGAAAGAACCAGCAGGCTGAAAGCAATTGCTGCAGCCTTTTCCCTGGCTCTCTCCTTTGAAGATCCCAGTCTGACAGGCTCCTGACGGTGAATATCCTGCACACACTTCTCAGCTTGTATTTCAACTCAAGTATCAGCTGCCACACTATTATGCAGGGAAACCAGGCCCCCATACTAAATGCTTAACCAGGACACTGAGATGCAGACCCAAATTCTCATTGTGAGTATGAGCAGTTTGAGAGTTTCCTACTGTCAAGGACAGAGTCCTAACTACGAAATTATTTTGGGATAAGTATATTTAATCCCTCCAGCTGAGGATACTCCACTTTAGCAAAAGAAAAAAATCACCCAAGACATCAAGTCAACCACTGTTATTTCACATCAAAGCTCTTGAAGTAAAACCAACAACCAAATGTCCTACCTGCTACACCTTTGCAAGTCACACTCCTGTCTGACCCTTTGCAGATCTGGCCTAATACATCCATCCACACAAGGCACTCAGTAAGGAGATGAAATGCTAAAACCAGCCTCCTGGAAAGAGACCCTCTGCAGACTTGTAAGTAAAGTTTGGCTGCAGTTCAGTTGCACTCCAAACACTGCGTTTAAACCAGTGAATTCTGGCACCTATCAAAAGGGGGGACAGACTTCAGATCGAAGCCCTCAACAAGACAGACTGACTGCGGGTATGTCAGCAGTATGACAAGTTCTTGTAGGAATCATCAATTTGATTCTGTTTTCCCCAAGAGGCTTTTACCATGGGGATATGCTGTATTAGCATTGCCTTCTGCAGACTTATCAAAAGGATAGCTCCTGATGATGGAGAGGGATAAGTGGAATTTGTGACATGCATTTTTCCTCCCTACTCTGAAGTGCACCAATCACAGCACCAATGGACAACAAGCCTAAGGAAATCATCAGACCATTTACCACTGAGAGAACATATCTCACTTTTCACTGCTGAGTCTATCAAACCTTGTAAACCATTTCCTTAACTCAGCACTAAATTTAGACTAAATTACTTAACTCAGGAAGTAATTTGTGAGTGGCATTTCTCTAAAATCTGAACATGAGCAAAGTACACCTGAAGAATGCTTTTAAGTTACAAGAGCCAACTGGACATTTAAACAAAGCTGTTTCAGAGCAGTTTTAGTCTCCCCACAGGCTGCACAGCTTCTAGAAGCATTTCTGTTGCAACTGCCTTATCTTCTCCTCTTCTTATGGAATGTAGAAAAAGCCTGCATGCTGAAGTCCAGAGGCAAGTAGCTACAATGGAGTTTACATTTTGCCACTGAAAGGTCAGTTCTATCTTTGATCTGCACTTTGCCAATAGTGGTCTGATTTGTAGACAAGCCATCCCAGCAGAATTCCATTTACAAACAATACAAGAGTTTAGTTTAGAAGTGGTGCAGAGTTTGTTTTATCAAGCTCACTGATGTAGTTATCTTTAGATGCAAGTCAGTTCGCAGCAGTCAATAGGTTCATGTAAGGATACATGAAGGAAATCACAGAGAAAACTGCAAGGGTATAAAGACCTATCAGATAAAAGAGATCCAGAAACCAGTTTAACATAGCAATTTTACAGGCGAAATACCAGCTCAAAGCATCAGAGTGTTATTTCTCAACTAACAACCTTCCTCAGTATAGTAACTAATTTATGCACATCTTAAATGTAACTCAAACTGATTACTGAAGATGGTGATTCCTCAGAACCTCACTGGCTTAGTTTTGACAAAAATTCAGTATGTATACTGGGCTTGAGTTGTTCAGTTAATTAATCTTATTATTTGTACTGTTAGTAGGTAGGAACAAAGTATCGTTCAATAACATGGATTTAACAGAACTTAAACACAGTAAGAAAATCATTGCCTGCACCAAAATATCTGCAATCGACAATAAGCCTACCATAATTTCATTCACAGGGTGCTGCATAAAAGAACACTTAAAATCCTCATTTGATTCTCCGTTGCTTACCTTGTTAGAAGCTTGGAGAGAGCTTTGCAGAACTATGCTGGCTTGAGCTCCAAAAGAGGGAAGTGTTTGCCAGAAGGAAAAAAGATACAAGGAAAGGAGTGATGTTTGAAAAGGCAAAGAAGCAACTATCAGTTATAACTGGTCCCTCCCATAGAGGAGATGAAAGCCACACTCTAACAATGAACCAGTGTGCCACAGTCTGAAACAAGCAAAGCCTACAGCTAAAAATACTCCTAGGCCACAAACAGAAGCCATCTAACAAAGGTTACCTGCAGCTAGGAGCAAAACACACAGAGGTGACGAACAGGAGGCCGACAGGAATGAACTGTTCTAGCACTAATGAAGCCATGCCATGTCGGCAAGGGGGAAAGAGGGAGGATGGAAAAAGGAGCGGAGACGTGCAGATCACAGCCATGGAGGAGTCCAGAAAGTTGCCCATTCTAAGCAGAAGATTCTCATATTAGATGCATTAACATATTTCAAATTCTTAAGAGACCGCCTTCTTAAGAATCTGTCAAACCACAGCTTAGTAGGTCTACAAAAAGAAGTGGCCGGACACTATTCAGAATAAGAGAAGCCAACCACGAGCCAGCAGTTGCAGTCTACAGTAACAGCTGCCAGCATTTAAATCACCCTGAACCCCACACTCAAAATAGAATTTTTAAATTATTTTATTTCTCTATCTCCCACACAGCCTAAGTTATTTCAATCTTACAAATGCAGAATAGCACGTATACAGGTCTGGTAAGTTACAAATGCTTCCTGCCCCCAGAAAAGCTTTACACCTGGGTAGACAAGACTGAAACATGTTGCAAAGCATCAAAGGCAGAGGTCAGAACCTGCAAAACACATTGGTTTGTAGCTGCCTTGCTACTTCCAGTGGAAGACGCAGTAAGAAGGGGATGGTGCTACCATCCCAGGAACAGCACCTGAAGTCAGTACGCCACAGAAATTTCAAGAGCGGACGGACACACAAAGCTGGAGGTTGACATCTCAGTGACAGCTGAGGAGTAAAACACACAGATGTGCTTCAGAATGCTGCAGGAGCTTGAGGAGAGCTGCATCTCAGTGCTCAGCAGTTGCTACGTCTGCTTTGCAGCTTTTACTGTTTCCAATCTCAATGAGCTGTTTAGGACAAAGCCAAAACAGATCAGAAGTAACAGTGTTTAAAGTATGCAAAAATCAAATGAAAACTGACACCAAAAAACCTCTGGCTTATATAACATATTGAACTGATGAGGCAATACCAATAAGCCTGCGTTGGCCTGAAGTCTGCTGCTCTTGATGACCTGTGCTTCTGATGTTAATTAAGTCATTGATTTTTGTGTACTGTTTTTCTCTGTAGCAAGCATTAGGATCTATCAGACAAACACTTTCACTTCGTAAAAAAAAATGGGTGGGAAAGCAGCGTGGTTACCGGTTTGACAGACTGGTCCCTAATGAGGCAGAGAGAGATGCAGGTTAACAGACCCGCATGTTTCACTGTGAGAAATGAATGTAAAACCAGATTTGGTGAAATGGGATGCAATCATACTTCTCAGTCACAAACTCTGCAAGTCCACTCAAATTACACCAGGAAAAGCAGCAGATAGGTACAGAATTTGTAGTTCAATCTTCCAACAATATGTGAACATACCTTATTTGATGTCTGGATGGGCAACTTATTCAAAAATTAAACATTCACATGAGGTAAGTGGTATTTCAAA